CTGCAGTGTCTGCTGATGCACTCGTATGTTGACACTGTAATTGTGTAACGATTGCTGTACTCAGCCGCAGTCCTAACTGGTTATTTTTCAATTTTTTGCGCCATTCATGCGTGCACCGTTCGTGTTTGAATTGTGAGCGAGCAAGGTTGATGTGTCATCGTGGAGGTCGCATTGTCCGTGAAACATTTCATGGGGACTTGGTATATCAGGCTGCATTTGAATATAATATCAAAGGCACCGTCCCGTTTAAATATCGAATATTAGTGAATGCCAAATGCGTTCTTGTGATTTTTGATGTCAATCTCCAGAGATCAATTGTAGAATATAACCTGGACTCGCGATGGAAGTGAATGTGTGATTGCTCTCCATGATGGCTCTTATGCTTCATGTGATCCGGCAAGAGCCACAATAATCGAACGACCTGCCCAGGTTTTTGGGCCCTTTCCCTGCATTCCTACTAAAAAGGCTTGTTTTGCACAGACATCTAGGTAACGAGCTTATCCACTTTCTCTATAATCGCACAATTGCACGGTTATAGTGGCAGTGAGAAGATAGTTTTGTTTTCTGGTGGAATGCCCCATGCTTCATACGGGGACCGATTCGTCGTCACTGCCAGACAGGGCGACCGAACCTGTGTGTTTGACTTCGCTAGCCCCGTCATAGATTTCCTGCTGACCCGGGGCGGTAAGTAAGGTTATTGCTCGGTTTCATAAACTCCTCATCTCATCGCATACTTTCATTTCATTGTAGCTGACGGATATCACAATTGCGCCCTAGTTCTTACTGAAAACGAACTTGTATGTATCGATTTGACGGATCGTTGCTGGAGAGTTATCCCTACAGAACAAATGTTCCCACTGCATGCTAGTCAGGTAATCTACTATGGTTTCTGTAAGAGTATCTTCAAATAACTTTACTGTAGATCACGACGTCTGCTCACTGTTCTCATGTGGATGAGCATGTATGGAATAAGATGAACAAGGTGTGTCAGAACAGCTTAGTACAACTATCTCCCGTGTGGTGTATCAGTGTTTGCAGATCTCAAGTGACTGCTTGCGCAATAATAGGAAATACTCTTCAGCTGCCTGGCCACTGCATGCCAATGTTCCGTTGTCAGACGAAGGTCGCGTGCTTAAGGAGGCAACTAAAAGACAGCT